CCATTTCAAAATGAGTACAAAAATTCCTTAGCAAGCTTTAGGTAAATGTATAATTTCAAGCTGTGAATGTTACGTTTAGAAAAAGTACACTATGCAATTTTTTAATTTTTTATGTATGTTACATTGGAGTGTTACGTTTGAGATTACATTGATTGGAGTGTTATATTTAAAAAAAAGTACACTAAGGAATTTTTTTGTATGTTATATTGGAGTGTTATGTTTATAAAAAGTTTAAAGTGTTACATTGTTACATTTGGGAAAAGTACATTAAGGGATTCTTTAGTGTGTTACATTAGAGTGTTATGCTATTGGAGTGTTACATTTTTATTCTTAATGTGATATTTGTTCCAGAATATGAGAAAATCCAAAACCTCTAATGTGAATTGTCCAAATGTGTAATTTTACATTTAGAGAAACCCATTTTTATTCCTAAAAAATTAAACCTAAACGTGTAAGGGATTACCCTTTTATGTAATTTATATTTTAATGAAACCTTTGAGTTCACACGGTTAAAAAAAAAATTAAAAAGGCTAAACAGTTCACAATATTATATTTTAAGTAATTAGTGCTTCATTCTCAAAATTTTATCAATACCACATCACTACTACTATTACGTCGACATCACCATCATTATTACTACTGCCACCACAACCTTCAACTTCAACTTCAACTTCAACTTCAACTTCAACTTCAACTTCAACTTCAACTTCAACTTCAACTTCAACTTCAACTTCAACTTCAACTTCAACTTCAACTTCAACTTCAACTTCAACTTCAACTTCAACTTCAACTTCAACTTCAACTTCAACTTCAACTTCAACTTCAACTTCAACTTCAACTTCAACTTCAACTTCAACTTCAACCCACTATCTCCATCACAATGGCTAAATACAATAATTAGTCCATTAGTTTTAAAAAATAACCAAACATATAAAATAATTTTTAAAAAATTAAATAATTATATAAAAAATATTTTATGTCAAAAGAAATGAAGCATAAAGTGAACTTTCATATTTTATATATGATAAATGTATAAAGGAAAATACTAGTCTGAAGTCAGTCTAATTTTCTCAAATTTTGAGATCATTTATAATAGGACAAATTACATTTTGCTCATTATTATTTTTTTCATTTTGACTCTTATAATTTTTATTTTTATTTTATGCTAATCCTTCACGTTTCAAGCTTTTTAAATTTATTCTTAAAGTTAATTTTTTTTTAATTAGACAAAAAATACTACATTGATTGTCAAGTCACATAAAAAAATAATATTATATTTAGATTTAAGTTTGAGTTAGAGGTGTACGTTGAATATAATTATATATTTGATCACATGTGGCTGTTTACATAATTTTTTTATCTAATTCTGAACAAAAATAAATAAATAAAAGTAAATTAAAAAAATATTAAAATGTAACGGGTAAAGTGAGAACAAAAAATTGAAAATAAAAATAAAAAATGATAAAATATACAGGGGGTATAGTTTAATATATCCTTTATAATATTATTATTTGTGGCAACAAGGATTTCATTACATTGCATATTTGTAATCTTTAAAGATTTTATTAGTATATCATCTAATAAGTAAGTATAAAGTTTTTTTTAATTTAAAATAATTATAAAATTTATTTTTATTTTATAATCATTAAATATATAATGGAAATATTTCATTTCAACATGTAACATGTAAGAACATCTTTGTCAAATTAGTTATTTTTAGGGTAAATTACACTGACCTCTCCTGAGGTTTCTGACAAATACAGCGACATTTCCTGTAGTTTCAATAATTACAGTAACCTCCCCTTATTTTACCTGACATTTTCCAGATTCACCCCTTCTGTCAAATTAGAACTAATGGGATTACTTTTTCTATAGTAAATGACCTTATTGCCCTTCTTTTTAAAATATTAAAAAATATTTTTGGATTGGAGGACATGTTTGGAAGAAACAAAAAGCGTTTGAAACAGTATTTTTGGATTTATTTTTTTTAAATATTAAAAAATGTTTAAGAAAATTTTATTTTTTATTTTAAATAATCAATTGGTTACTATGATTGATCAGCATGATTTTTTGTAAGAATGATATAATCGACAAGCTCTAGATAGTTAATGGTTTGGATTATCGAGATAGGCTTGGAGTCATGCCCACCGTGGCCCAACAACACCATAAAATATGATTCCAAAATGAAGTTTGTTTAGTTTTTTTCAAGGAAAGTGTCATTTGATTAAGTGCTTAACGATGTTTGATTAATTTAATTTTTAACATAAATAATTTTGCTTACAGGCCTTATAAAATAAACTATTCAAATTGCTAAAGTAAGCCCATAATGAATTGAACTAGATGGAGAGATTAGCTACAATCTAGCCTAATTTTGCTTTAAAATTATGAGACACACATGATACGTGTTGTGCAAAATATTGTTAAATCCGCATTGATTCGCATCAACCCGCCCATTAACTACGAGTTAGTTTGATTTGCAATTTGAAAATTATAATTTACAATCAAAACCGTCTCACTCCACTGTAGTATACATATATATATTTTTTTGTTTCTAATAAAATATCAAATTAAAATCAGTGTGAGAGAGATTTAAGATGTAAAATTTATTGTAAACTAGAGTCACACACACACACACATACACATATAGATTTAAATTATTTTTTAATCAATTAACAAATTGGAATCATTCGTAATTTGACTATTTGTCAATCCATTATTCACAAGCTAATTTATAATTGGGAAAGGATTCTATTCAGGCCACTTTGTGGACTGAACAATACTGTTGGGTCCGTAGGGCCCATCACAAGTCCCATTTTGATAATCTGAATTGTCAATGTGTAGAGTTCGTCGAGTATTTTATTCATACAAAAAATCACGTTGATCGGATGTCAATAGCCCTTGATTAAATCATATTTTTGTTAATGGTAAATAAGATTTTAAAAATAAACTATTAATAAAAATATATTTTGATGAAAAGACTATCGATATCCGGTCAATGTGATTTTTTATAAGAATAAAATACTTGATGAACTCTACACATTGAATAATTCGAATTATCGAAGTAAGACTCATGGTGAACTCCACAAACCTAACAATACCCGTTCAATTATCAAAATAGAAAAAATAATTTTTAAATTAAAATATAACAAAATTTTAACTAGTTTAATAGAGATGGTAGACGAGAGGACCAATGTCATAGCTTCATCTGGCAACATCAAGTTTTAATTTAAAAGTCGAAAAATCATTAAAAAGTTAAAAAATAATAAATTATACAAAAAAAATCAAAAATTATATTTTCTCTCTACTTTTTACATATTTTTTTATAAAAATTAAAAAAATAATCTCAAACTTATTCAAATTGTTTGGTTTCACTTTTCAGGATTTACTTTAATTGAAATTTTTTATTTTTTGTGTTTTTTTTTGTTTTTACTGAATTTTTCTAATATTTGAAGTAATTTTATTAATTTTTAGATACATCTAATATAAATACACTTAAAAATTATAATATTTGTGATTTTTTTTAAAAAAAATTTACTAAATACCAATAATATAAAAAAAAATGAAAATTCAGTACATTTTTGTATTCTTATGTATTTATTGATTTTTTAAAATAATTTTTTACAAAAAATTTACTTTTTAGATACATTTAAATAAGGTGTATCAAAAAAAGTAAAAAAATTGCTTAAAATTTTAAAAATATTCACTAAAATTTAAAATAAAAAATTCAATTTCTAAAAAATTAAATTCAAAAAATTAAAACGACATACAATTTTTTATCTCATATTTTAACTAAAAATTTTACAAAATTACTAAAATAACTTGTTCCCAAAGAGGTCCAATGGAAAAGAAAAGGGTTAATTACAAATACACCCTCCTGAAGTTTAATTAAAATACAAATCGCTTCATGTAGTTTTGGAAATTATATCTCACCGTTGATGTTTCTAATTTCATAATAAATCACTCATTTTATTAATAAATTATCAAGTCAATTAACAGTTTTTAATAATGTTAGAAATATATTTCAATTAATAATTTAGATAATTTTATTATTATAGAGGAAAATAATTATGAATTTTATTTTATTTTAGTTAATTTTGTTAGACAAAAAATTATAAAAAGAGGGTATTTATAATTTTTTAAATTACATAAAATAATTTATATTTTAAACAAATCTCAAGAATGTATTAAGAAACGGTGGTGTTACATACGCCAATTAGTGTACATACTAATATATCAACTAGTATTATGATATCAATAATAACCTTATTTATTATACAAATTATAAATATTTAAAATCTCTAAAATTATGTCACATCATCTGTTAGGCTTTGTTTGTGGTGTCTTAAAAAAGTCAAAAAGTCATTATTCTATTTAAATCACATAATCTTATTTAAGTCACATCACTTCTCTACCACATTACTTCAAACTCAACCCATACCCAACCCATATTTCATAAAAAATTAAAAAATATATTTATTTAGATCATCTCAAATCACCCCTTAGTATATTAATGTGTACACTAATTAGTGTATATAGCATTATTCATTAAAAAAAAAGAATCATGATAGAGACTCCCTCTAATCACCACCCCACAACCCCACAGACACGTGGCGGGTGATGATTAGAGGAGTAGGAAAAAAAGAAAAAAATATATATAACCAATGAAAGAGAGAGGGGGTCAAAGGGGCGGGGAAAATGGGACATGAAACATTTTTAAAAAAAAAAAAACACAATGGAGTGGCGTTGGCGTAATATCCGGAAAAGACAAGGGCATATATGTCGGAACAGTTGGACCACCGCCATATGGGGAATCTAACTGTTAACTATTCTCCATTCTCACGCGTCTGCTAAACCCCAAAAAAGAAAGCCTGAGGGAGCTGTAATAAAAATAAATAAATAAATACAAACAAACACAGAACACTTATTTGGAATTTAGAAAGCTCAATAAGCCACCATATCAATCAACTATGGCTATTCCCAAATTCATACAGGTACTTCAATTTTCTCACAGTTCATATACCATTCACACACTCAAATTCCTTGTTTGGTTGCTGGGAAAATGTTCGGTCAATTCAACCACCCTGACAGTGCTTAAGCAAATGGTTGGTTGGTTGACGAAACCAACAAAGAATATCAAGATCCTCTGTGTTTTCTTTCTCTTTCTTTGCCTTTCTCGGCCACCAAACATAGTCTTGGTGACTAATCTCTCTCTCTTGATCTGATAATCAAGTAACCGTTCTCGTTACTAGTAATTTCAGTTGATTTTTCGCCGGTTAGTCTTGGAGACTAATCTCTCTTTCTTGATCTGATAATCAAGTAACCGTTCTCGTTACTAGTAATTTCAGTTGATTTTTCGCCGGTTAGCGTTTGAATTATTTTATACTGTTCTAGGGTTTTTATTTATAAACTCTTGATCCTATTATGTACTTTTGAGGACTGGTTTGTTGTTTGATCAGTGAAAATTACCTGTTTAGTGCATGTTGGTTTATGACTGATGATTGTAATTTCTAAGCTATGAATTAAGTTGTTCCTATACTCATTCTTGGTTTTGTTATTAGTTCAATTGGTTTTTTATGTTTAAACAAAAGGATAAGTAATTTAAAGCCTATGTCAAATTGGTTAATTAACAAATGATAAGGCAATGCATCTCGGAATGTTACTCTCTTATTATTTCAACCTTGAATATGTTTGTATAAAAATCAGCTTTAATAAATTGAAACTGTGTAAAGATTTTTGTTGGTAGACATGCAGCAGCCATAGTCCATACAATTGCATCGCGCGGATTTTTTTATCTGTCAAGTGTTTTGAGTTTTTTTTGTAATTCAGTGTGTTGAGTGGACCTGAAGTTTGAGCTTGCACATGATATTCTTAGCTGCACTAATCTTTGTCTTATGTCTATTTTGCGGCTTAAAAACTTTTATTTATTTGTATTTGAGGATTGGATGAAGTAACTTTAAGTTATGAGTATCCCTATTTTTGGGGAAAAAAAGTTGAATGTGCAAAAATGTACCTTAGCCTGTGTTTGGATCATGGATTTGGATAGAGATTTGAAAAGTGTGAGAAAAAGTTGAGGGAAATATTAATGAAATATAAGCTAAATTTTTTCTCAATTTTCTTTGCTTTTTCCCTACTCTTTCCAAATTTCTACCCAAATCCATCATATAATAAACACAGCCTTAAGGTCCAAATCCAATCATGCTTTTGATTGGGAGGAGAAAGGGCTGACAATCTGACTAAATTTTTGGGTTGGAAACTTTGCAGGGGAAATAGGGATCAAAGGAGTTTTATCCTCCAGTTAATCTGGGCAATGGGTCTTGAGTTTCAATCATTATGCCACGCGGAATCCAGGAGAGTTGTATGGCTGATGGGGATGATGTTTGCCATTGCTCTAGTAATGCAGTATTTTGAACTCCCATATGGTAGTTCTATATCGGCTATATTTTCTGCAGGCAGGCCTCAAGTAGTGGCTACAGGCACATTCTCAGCTGGAGATCCATCTGCTAACCCCAAATTGGTAGGTAACAAGACATCTCTTAATGGTTTGAACTCCACTGATGTAAATACTGATCATAATAATATTAATATAACCAAGACCCCCAAAGGAAAGGACATAGGACTCAAGAATGATTCTGTATCGGAAAAGAATGAAGGCTCGGGTGATTCTCTTCAATTAGATGGGGATACTGACCCTGAAGATGAATCTCCATCTGAGGATTTTATATATCTTAGTCATAATTCAACAACAAATAAGACAATTACTGATAATGCCTTGGCACCGGAGAAGTCTAGAGAATCTTCATACAGCTTTTCCCCAAATAATGCTGCCATCAATAATAATTCTTCATTAGGCAGTGTTCCGGAAGAAAGTCCTGTTTTCACAGTAGAGAAAAATGGAAGTTTAGATGCCTATCCTGCTAACCCCCTTTCAGTTGCATTCGCACCAATGATTTCATTGCCCAAGTTAAACACTTCAGCAAATGCAAATACAAAATCGCAAAGTCCCATGATATCTGTTTATCCCAATACATCTTCAGTGGATAAAGACTCACGCAATGCACTTTCCAATGATGAAAAATCTGAGGAATTGCAAAGGGATGCTAATATGTCAGAAAATAGTTCTTCTAAGACTAATGTTCCAGCAGAGAAGGCAACAGCAGCAGTGGTGTCAATATCTGAGATGAATGATTTGTTGCTTCGGGGTCATACTTCATCATTTTCAATGGTTTGTGCATGTCTTCAATTTCATATTGATCAGAGAAGATTGAGTTCACTGAAGTAGGCTTCAACTTAATTTCTTTCCTGATTTGTTTGTAGAAACCACAGTGGTCTTCAAGAGTTGACCAAGATTTACTGAATGCAAAATTACAGATTGAGAATGCACCTATCGTAGAAAATGATCCTTGGCTTTATGCTCCTCTCTATCGAAATGTTTCCATGTTTAAAAGGTAAGCATGTTGAGTAAGATTATTCTATTAATTTTGGTCCATGTTTTGTTGCAGATGGGTTATCCTGGCAGTCGCACTTCCTTTACATACATTTTTTTACATTCATCCATACACAGTCATTGACCCACTACCTCCACGATCTAGAAGATTTTGAAGGCTTAATTTCAAAAAAATGAGAATCAAGTGTCTTTGAAATGCAGTTGCTTTCTCTTGTTGGATAAGTGGACATAAAATAAAGAAGATGAGTGGCTCAACAGTTGTGATGTTACAATATCTATCTGTATATTTATAAGGAGGGACTATTTACACTGCCAAAATGGCAAAATCAATAATCCACTCGCATATTTCGACCCATGTATGTTGGAAGGGGGTGTGGATTTAGCCATTGTGATTGTGAAAATTGTAGACCTGTATAGGGGAAAACACATTTTTCTCTTTTTGGTTGGGTCAGGAATATGAGAAAAAAATGAATATTACTAAAAATTCCATTTTTTTCTGTTTTGTTTTGTTTAATTACCCATATTTGCCTTATATTTTTTCTTCCTTTGCCAAATTCAAGATCCAAACATAGCCTAAGAGAATTGTTTTCCGTGATTCTATCCAGCTCAGTCAAAAATAAAAAATGCCAAAATGTAAATGCTGTTCAGAGTTTAATGAAGACGAAAAGAGCACTTGAGAAGAGGATAAAGCATTCTACTTGTACCATTAGCATTCTACTTAAGAATGTGCCTCACTTCAAGATGATCTACATATATCATACAAAAGAAGCCCACTTGCATAGGAATATATTATGGACTTTCCTATAGTCTAAGAAGCATGGACACGAACATGTGGACATGCAAATTTTTAAAAAATGCAGGATATGACACGTTGGGGACACGTACAAAATATATAATTTTATATATTTATTATATGTCATATATTTAAATATCTAATATTTATTTTATGTCAAATATTTAATTTTATCAAATTTATCAACTTTAGCTATGTTATTTTAGTAAAAAAAATTTAAAAAAAATTGATTTTTTTGGAAAAAATGGTCCTCAATGTGTCCCAGCATGTCCGTAGCATGTCTGAAGTGTCCCAGCATGTCTGACACGTGTTCGGAGCATGTTTGTATTCGTGTCCGACATGTGTCGGACACCTGTACGTCACCTCCAGAGAGGTGTCCGTGCTTCATAGCCTATAGTACCCAAGGAAATTTACTGTTATACAAATAGAGACTAGAAAGTATTCTTGTTTTGGACGGTTCATCCATCTGCCTGGTTTAGATTTTAAATAGCTTAGGTATCACCGCATCAATGTGGGTGTGAGAATGGATACACATGTTTCTCTTGGCATAACATGTTTTAAGTGTCTCAGATATACTATTTAGGATTGGGTACAACATCCTTTATATAATTTTTTTGCTTGGTATCGGTGAATCCTTTTGCACCCTCATATTCTTTTTGGCATGGGGAACTAAACTTTTTAGATTGGGATAAAGAGGTTTGCATTACAAAATTACTTCCTGATTTCCTTGTAGGAAAGGCACTAGTGGAAACTTTCTTCTTTTGGTCTTTGTAGCTTTATGTAGTTAAGGAGGTTTTAGGAAGAAATCTTAGCACAAAGGATCTTTTGAATCTTGTTCAACTAAGTAGGTTTAAGAGGGAACTATTTTTCTGTTAAACCATTTTGCATTTTTTCAAAATGAACATGAACCTCATTGCAAGAATCTCGTATGCACACACAGTTATTAGTATTGCTCATGCAAACTGTGGTAGGCAGCCAAATTTTTAAAAATTCAAAATTATTATGCAGGAGCTATGAGTTAATGGAACAGATGCTCAAGGTTTACATTTACAAGGAGGGACAGAGACCCATTTTCCATCAGCCAGTGCTAAAGGGAATTTATGCTTCTGAGGGTTGGTTCATGAAGCTGCTGAAAGGAAGCAGACAATTTGTCACTAAAAACCCAAGAAAAGCCCACCTATTTTACTTACCTTTCAGTTCTCGAATGCTAGAGGAGACCTTATATGTACCTAATTCTCACAGCCACAAGAACTTGATACAGCATCTGAAGAACTACCTTGACATAATTGTGGGAAGATACAGTTTCTGGAACCGAACTGGTGGAGCTGATCATTTTCTTGTTGCTTGCCATGACTGGGTACTACTTTGCATATTTCCTATTGATTTGTGTTCCATAATGATTCTAACAATCCATTGGATCTGGGGGGGAAAAAATGAGGGAAATGCTTGAAAATTTCTAATAATCTTTTTTATTTTTTGTTTTTGTTTTGTTTTGTTTTTTTGAAGGCCCCATCTGAAACAAATAAACACATGGCTAATTGCATTAGAGCTCTTTGCAATGCTGATATCAAAGAAGGCTTCAGATTTGGAAAGGACGTGTCTCTTCCAGAAACATACGTCCGCTCAGCTCAGAATCCCCTAAGAGAAATTGGAGGAAAGCCTCCTTCCCAGCGTCGAATCCTTGCTTTCTTTGCTGGGAACATGCACGGTTATCTCCGTCCTATTTTGTTAAAGTATTGGGAAAACAAAGATCCCGACATGAAAATCTTTGGCCAAATGCGCAAGGTAAAGGGCCAAATGAGCTATGTACAACACATGAAGAGTAGCAGGTACTGTATATGTGCAAAAGGTTATGAAGTCAACAGTCCACGAGTGGTGGAAGCCATTTTCTACGAGTGTGTGCCGGTGATTATTTCTGACAATTTTGTACCCCCTTTTTTCAATATTTTGAACTGGGAATCCTTTGCTGTTGTTGTCCCTGAGAAGGATATTCCAAATTTGAAAAGTATACTCCTTTCAATCCCACAAAAGAGGTATCTCGAGATGCAACGGAGAGTAAAGAAAGTACAACAACATTTTCTCTGGCATGCTAGGCCTGTGAAGTATGATATCTTTCATATGATACTCCACTCGATATGGTACAATCGAGTTTTCCGAATAAGACCCAGATGACAACTGTGCCTTTGATTACAAAAAGATTACAGGTGAACTTATCTTTCTCTGGAATTAGATTAAGTGCCCTGTTGTAGAGAACTGAGGATATGAAACATTGCAAGAATACATAAATTCATTGTTGTAGAGCAATTTGTTTTTAAGCTTTTGATTGGGATTCTCGTAGTTCTTGTAGTGTCATTATTTGTTGTTGTACATAAATTTAAAGAAAAATAAATTATTCTTTGATGTGAAGATCTCTCTCTCTAGACGTCTCTTGACAAAGCCATTTTGGCAAGTACTCTATAAGTGGATAGACATCTCTTGATATGTTGTGATGTTATGAGAAATTAGTCTCATTTCGTCCTGGCAGCTTACAGACCTTGGGGTTGCCTGAAAAAGGTTAACAGAAAGTAGACTTGCCAGAGATTCAGATGTAAGGTTGACAACTGTGGTGTAGTGTCGGCTGAAGACTCTCCGATACTGGGCGAGCCAAAAGAACCTCTTTCTTTTTTTTTCACACAGTTCTCAAGGTTGAAGGAATGTATGTGTATGGAGTGGCATTTCTTTGTTTCATGGGAATTCTTGGTATATATATGCTGTTAATTCATACAGTTGATTAAGGAGAGAATAATAGTGATCATTCTCGGATTTCATGGGATTTTCTCCATTTACATTATCATGGATTTATTATATGGTCCTTCAATCTCACATATTTTCGAGGGATGAATCAGTTTTGTGGTGAGGATTTTCTGCATTACTTTTTTCATTAAGTTATTATTTAGCAATTGATCAACATTGGAACACTTTTAAATTGCCCCAATGTTTTAGCAGTATTAATCCCTTATGCCTCGATTGTTTTCAAATATAGAATGAATGAGATTGTTAGTAAGAAATTAAGTAAAATTATGTTTGTTTTGAAGATAATTAATGTGAGGATTGTCAAATTATTTTTATATAAAATAAATAAAAATTATTTTTATATAAAATAAATCTAAAACAAATATAAAAAAAATTAGAGATGTGTGGCCGCACATGGTAATTTGACTTAGTTGCACTATTCCGATCAATCGGTAACTGAATACACTCTAATCTCTTAAATTATTTTTTCAATCTCACTTCCAACCCACCCAAACTAATTCCACTGCTCAACGGGATTACTAAATTCATTGGAATATCAATCTCATTGTTGATTTCACACCAAACAAGCCATGAGTAGGGTCCACATTCATCCTCCTTCAATCCTACCTCTTATGCGAGAAAACAAGCATGACCTTAATATTTAAATTATGTCTATTGAAACACTTTTTATAAATTAGAGATGAGATTGATATAATTTAAATATTAACAATCAAATTGAAACACTTTTCATATTGCGAACAAAGTTGACATAATTTAAACATTAAAAATTAAAGGAGAATTACATATAAATGGAGGGTAGAAAAAATATTTACAAAAAGGTGAAATTTTTTTATGATTTTAACTATCAATATTTATAATGTTTATTATTTTTTTGCAAGTATTTTTTCTACTCTCCACTAATTTGCAATTGGGATTTTTATTGATAAGTCCAATTTAGAAGTGTTTTAACCCAAGAAGTTCATGAAGGAATTTTTTAACCCATTTAGTCTCATGTATGTATAGTTTTATTCTATAAAGTCCATTTTCTTTATTTACACTATTTTCTTGGACGCTTATGCCCTTATATTTAATTTTGATATCCTTATAAATATTTTTTCAACGATTAACAATTTAATGATGTAAAAATTCATATTTTAAAATTCACATTTATAAGAATATAAATTGGCCAGTGGGCGGCCCGAAACGCGCCCCCGAGCCAGGGCGAGCCCGGCCCGTTGACAATGTGAATATTCACATTGACATGTTAACATTCACATTGATAAGAGTATAAAATTGGCCTGCGGCCCATGGACGGCCAAAAGCCCGCCCGCTGCCCGGGGCGGGCCCCGCCCGGCCCGTTGACAATGTGAATATTCACATTGACATGTTAACATTCACATTGATAAGAGTATAAAATTGGCCCGCAGCCCGAAGCCCGATCGCAGCCCGAGGCGGGCTTGGCCCGACCCGTGACAATGTGAATATTCACATTGACATGTTAACATGTACATTGATAGAAGTGTAAAATTAGCCCGCGTCCCGTGGCTGCCGGAAACCCATCCACGGTCCATGGGTGGCCCAGGGCGGGCCCGGCCCGGCCTGTTGACAATGTGAATGTTTACATTGACATGTTAACATTTACATTGATAGGAGTGTAAAATTAACCCGCAACCCGTGGGCGGCCCGAAGCCCGATCGCAGCCCGAGGCGGGCTTGGCCCGACCCGTGACAATGTGAATATTCACATTGACATGTTAACATTAACATTGATAGGAGTGTAAAACTTGTCCGCTTTCCGAAGCTCGCCCGCGGCCCGGGGTAGGCCCGAACCCAAACCCGAGCCACCCCAGGCCGCCCACGGGCTGCCCATGGGATGCGAGTCAATTTTACACTCTTATCAATGTGAATGTTAACATGTCAATGTGAATATTCACATTGTCAACAGGCCGAACCGGGCCCTCCTCGGGCTGCCCACGGGCCGTGGGCGTGTTTCGGGCAGTCACGGGGCACGGGCTAATGTTACACTCTTATCAATGTGAATATTAATATGTCAATGCGAATATTCACATTGTCAATGGGCCGGACCGGGCTTGCCCCGGGCCGCCCATGGGACGCGAGTCAATTTTACACTCTTATCAATGTGAATGTTAATATGTCAATGTAAATATTCACATTGTCAACAGGCCGGGTCGGGCCCGCCCCAGGCCGCCCACGGGCTGTGGGCTAGTTTCGGGCAGCCACGGGGCACGGGCTAATTTTATACTCTTATCAATGTAAATGTTAACATGTCAATGTGAATATTTGCATTATCAACGGGTCGGGCCGGGCCCGCCCAAGGCAGGCCACGAGCAGCAGGCGGGTTTCGGACCGGCCATAGGCCGCGGGCTAATTTTACACTCCTATCAATGTGAATGTTAACTTGTCAATGTTAATATTCATATTATCAACGGGCCGAGTCGGGCCTATTTTTTTGGCTTGTGGGCCGGCCTGGCCGGACTCGAATTTTTTCGGGCACCCACGAGGATCGACATGAGCCGGGCCCCTACACATTGACGATATAAACATTTATATTGACGGTGTGAACATTCACATTAAGGGTATTTTGGTAAGAGAGATGCTAGAGAGCTCTAAATCTAGAGCTCTAATTTGAGCTCTAGTGATGTGTCCAAGCAATAAAAAAAAAAAAAACAAGGCAAGGCACAAACATCACATCAGAGTGGGTCCCACATTCCCATTAGAGCTATTAGAGCTCCTATATTAGAGCTCTAAAGCATTTTTGTTTTGGTAATTATGTCACCCATAGAACTTATTGAAACATAAGAAAATAATGTGAACTAAATGGAACATAAATAGATGAAAATGGTATTTTGGTCTTCTTATCTCAAATTGGACCTAATGGAATACTCAAAAAGAATATGGGTTGGATGGAATAAAGCTCTTAGAAAATGGATTTATCAAAAAAACTCCCTTTGCAATTCCCTCAAAAATTAAAATATCACAATACTCATATTTTAGAAACAAAAAATTTAATTAGCCCTTTATCCCTTGATACCTACCACTGCGGCTCACACAAAAGGATTGTTTGAAATGATATAAATAAATATATTTTTTAATTTTTTATGAAAAGATATGTAGAAAGATAAAGAGATGATGTGATCAAAAAAAATTAAAAAGATAAAAAAGTGTTCTACGGTAGGTCATGCCAAACAAGCTTATGTTAAAAAATAAAAAAATAAGAAAGATTTCGAAATCACAATTTGGCAATATAAAACCCAAAATCTATTTGGTTTTGGGTTTTCAAATCAACTCAACTATTTGAAAACTCTTTTCAAAACTCATAATTAAACAAGTTTTAAATTTTCAAACTTTTTTCAAAACTCATAACCAAACAAGTTTTAAATTTGGCCTTATTTGGTTTATATTTTGAGATATTGGGCCAAAGCAGTTGAAGGGGTGCTTATTTGAAACAACTTATGCGCGTAACTGGTTGGGGGGATTGAAATGACTTAAATGCCCTTCCAAAACTTCAAAAATTACGAAATTGTTATTGTATAAACCCTCTTCTATGTTGCCCTACACACTCCTCTTCTCTCACACTCTCATCCCCTCTTCTCCTTGCCTCTCTGGCGACCGATGACGAACTCCTCCACATCTTCAAGATCGCAGCCGATCGAACTCCTTTCCTCTCTGTTTTCCGTTGATCTGCACCAAAAAGGTAAGATTTCATGCCCTTTGTTTGTTATATATATATATATAAACATCGAGTTAGGGTTTTTGTTTTTGGTTGCTCTATGTGTGCGAATTGTTACTGAGCTCTCTCTCTCTCTCTTTTTCCGTTCTCTCTCTAATTACTGTGAAATGATCAATTAATGTGAAAGAATTTAGGGTTCATGCTTACTGTGAAATGGTGCATCAGATCTCTGATTACCTGCTCTTCCTAGTCTTACCCACCCCCCAAATACCCCTCTATATTTTGCAAGAATTTAAATAAAACAAAACAATACAAGAAAAAAATTCTAGGGTTCCTGCTTAACCTTCTTGGAATCCCTATTCTTCTCCAGGAAATCAGGTTTCTTTTCTTTTCTTTCTTTGGTATTTCTTCTTGACTATCTTTGAATTTGTTTATTTTCTATTTGGTTGGTGAGAATTTGAAGGAAATCTTGACAATTTCGCACTGCAATTGTCTTAATTTTTTCAATAACTAAGTGGATAGTTCAATGTTTTGTTGTTGATTGTTCTAATGAGAATTTAATTACCAAAAATTTTGCTTCTTTAATTTCATTTCTCTGAGTGAAGTTAGGGTTCTTTGTTTTTGTTTGACTGTCTTTGCAACTAAACTGGTTGTTCACACTATATTCTAGCTATGCTATTTGTTTGATTGTCTTGATGGAATTTAAGACCAAAGTGCACAACAAATGCTAGTTATTGATTATTTCTGTATTTTTATTGAATTCCTCTGTCTCATTTCAAACTATGGACTTTAGTTAGTTCATTAGTGATATGAATTAATGTTTTTATTGTCTCATTTCAAACTATGATGTTTGTTTTGGTATGATGAATAAAGACTTTAGTTGGTTCATTGGTGATATGAATTCCTGTCTCATTTCAAACTATGTTGTTTGTCTCATTTCAAAC